TGATTTTTGTAGATTGTTGTTCACAACAATAGTCCGAGGGGCACACATTTTCGGCGCGCTGGACCACGTCAAAAGGTATGTTTTTGTGAATTTTATGAATGGAGCTTGAAATAATTAAGTACCATGGTTCTGTCAATGACTACGTTTTTCTTGTTATACAGGTGTATTTTGAATCAGATGATGTTCATGCTTGTATTGTGACATGCGGGGGCCTGTGCCCTGGGCTCAACACAGTGATTAGGGAGATAGTTTGTGGTTTGCACCATATGTATGGTGTAAAGAAAGTTCTGGGAATTGATGTAAGCTATTGCTGCAAACTTTCATTTCCAAAATTGGTTTGAAAGTATAAGAAATGAAGAACAGAATTAAGTATCACACGATGGCTAATGAAGTTGATAAATTTGCAGGGAGGATACAGGGGTTTCTATTCTCGTAACACAATTTCTTTGACTCCTAAGAGTGTGAACGATATCCATAAGCGTGGTGGAACCATCCTTGGAACATCACGAGGCGGCCACAATACCTCAAAGATCGTTGACAGCATTCAAGACCGTGGAATCAATCAGGTTTTTTTATCATACTTAATCAATGCTATTCGTTGATCAGCAGTTTGTTGTATGCATTTCTTGTGGGTCTAGATATGCATGGACTATAGCTTTTTATCTTTCTATGTGGCAGGTTTACATAATTGGAGGAGATGGAACCCAGAAGGGGGCATCTGTGATATATGAGGTGATGTAATTTTACAAGATCTTGCCAATCTTTTTTTTCTCTTGGTCAAGGCTTAGGCAGCAATCTTTCAAAACTCAAGAAAGGAAATGTCATTTGCTTGTGCAAATTATTTTTCATTGACATTATGGTTATTCATCAAGCAGGAAATTAAAAGACGTGGTCTCAAAGTGGTAGTTGCTGGAATCCCCAAAACCATTGATAATGACATTCCGGTAACATTTCTTGGCTACCCTACCTGTTGCTGAGTTATGCGTATTTTTTTTCTTCTCAGAAATTCACAAAATTGTTCAATGCTGTCTCTTGTTGATACAGGTTATTGACAGGTCCTTTGGCTTTGACACTGCCGTGGAAGAGGCTCAACGGGCAATTAACGCGGCCCATGTTGAATCTGAAAGCGTTGAGAATGGAATTGGCGTTGTGAAGCTGATGGGCCGGTATAGTGGTAAGCTTCCTGCTTGCTCATGACATCTTCCATTTTAGAAACTCCTTCAGAATGTCCTGAGAAGTCTTCCTAGCTTCCTGCTTTACTTGTTAAGTGCATGTTCTCACCACTTAAACTGGATGCTGTGATGCAGGGTTCATTGCTATGTATGCAACTCTTGCAAGCCGAGATGTGGATTGTTGCTTAATTCCAGAATCACCTTTTTATCTGGAAGGTCCTGGTGGACTTTTCGAATACATAGAGAAACGACTCAAAGAAAATGGGCACATGGTTATTGTCATCGCTGAAGGTGCTGGGCAGGAGCTACTTTCTGAGAGCATGCATTCTATGGCCAAGCAGGATGCTTCAGGAAACAAGCTTCTCCAAGATGTTGGCCTATGGATTTCCCAAAAGATCAAGGTCTAGTTTCTGATATGCATATTCTCACCCATCAGAAGTCAGTAAATAAGATTGGCACACAGTTTCATTGATATATCTCTTGTTTTCTGCAGGATCATTTTTCAAAAAGGAACAAAATGACCATAAACCTCAAATATATAGGTCGGTAGACAAACATGCAAAAAAAATTCTTATACATTATACTCTAAACAAAAGTGGGAAGGACTAGTTCTAGATCAATCAAGCCTTGCTCTTCATTGTTTGCAGATCCTACGTATATGATTCGAGCTGTTCCGAGCAACGCCTCTGATAATGTGTACTGCACCCTCCTTGCTCAAAGTGCTGTCCATGGAGCAATGGCAGGTTACACAGGATTTACAGTCGGGCCTGTCAATGGGAGACATTCTTATATACCTTTCCATGTGAGTGCCTCAAATGATGCACAAAATTAGTGTATCTTTTGGTTGTTCATAGATATAACATGGAGTAATTGTTGGCTTTGCAGAGAATCATTGAGCAGCAGAACAAGGTTGTGATAACTGACAGAATGTGGGCTCGGCTCCTATCTTCCACAAACCAGCCAAGTTTTTTGAGTGCTAAAGACGTCGTTGAGGACAAGAAAGAAGAACTGCCAAGCCAGTTGTTGGATCATCAAAATGGTTTAAAAGACAATTTGGTGAAGAAAGAAATCAGTTATGCCCTGTAGTTGAGATTAGTACTATACTGATCTTAAGTTGTTTTATTCAAAAGAGAGAGGCCGAGAGTCGAAATCTTATTGTAAGTTTTTTTTTGGGGTCTGAGTTGGGATGTAGGAATGGGAATGTTCCAAACACTTGAAATTGAAGGCATCACAAATTCAGAAAAATAACACAATTTCCATGTTTCCATAATTTATTTCTAAACATGTGATTATGTGATGGTAAAACGGCCAGTCTTCAACTTTCGTCAATTAGAGGTTTGAATCTTGTATTCTACAAAGACTATTCTCTTTTCTTCGATAATCATCCAACCAGACTTTCATTATATTGAGCTTTCTGAATTTTTTTTGACTATGGTGCTAAATGGCTCAATAGGTAGGTAGGTTGCACAAAACGATTACTATATTTTTTTTAAAATTATTGAATACAAAGCGATAGTTTAAACTACAAGAGTTAAGGGGCTTCTCACACACCACCAAAATGCAATGGGTGTTCAAAGTCATTTTTTATTGAGCTAAACCCCGTTGACGCTATTTTTAATTTTAAGTTCCTTCCTCCATTTTTTTTTCTTTTATAAATTTAACATATGCACACACCGAAAAAAAAAAAGGATTTTAACATATCACACTACACAACTACGCACACATACCCACAAAAATATATTCGAGGAAAAATTTAGTCGCATAATTAAAAGCAAATTATACATATATTGTATCTAGAAAAAGGAACCTGGTAAAACTGGTGCAGACAAACAGATCCTCGAGGCTTGAGCTTCATAAAACTAGACATCTGAGTCTGAGAAATTGAGTTGTGTTGGTAAATAAACACACAGAGAGAGGGAGAGGGAAGGATGGGGATCAGATTCATATTGATGGTGAACAAGCAGGGGCAGACTCGTCTTGCCCAATACTACGAATATCTCACTCTCGAAGAAAGGCGAGCTCTTGAAGCTGAGATCGTCCGCAAATGCCTCGCCCGCAACGAGCAACAGGTCTCTGTTTCGTCCTCAGCTTTTGCTTCGTTGATTTCTATGCCTGTGCTTATCTATATTTTCTATAAGATTACGAATTTGGCTCCAAATCTAATTGTCGGAACCAAAAGCTCCGATTTTTTTTTTCGCTTTGAATCGTGCATTTATTAAATTTGAAATTACCAATGCCCAATTGTTCAATTCTGGATTTACACGTCTTTGGTGTGATCTCAGTACCCAGGTTGCTAATTTAGATCCAAAACTTAATTGAGTTATTTCTGTTGGCTATATGATATAAGAATTAAAAGTTTTTAAATTTTTACTGGGTGTCTCAGATATCTACTTCCTGAAACTGTGGTTGCATGTAAGGGAATTTGGATGTCCTGGTAGAGTCACTTAGATCGAATTTTCAATTCCTTGATAAATTTGATGATTTATAGTTAAGAATAGGTGGGTTCTGCTACTGAATTGTTTCTCCTCTCATTTACTCCAACTTTATGAATATCAAACTCTTGTTACATTACCCTATTGTCCATGTTTTGCATTAGGTTTTATGTTTATGAAACATTAAATTTTGTGGGAAACCTCATTGGTGACTAACCCTTTTAGAAGATCATTTCTTTGGGCCCTGCTGAACTTAAATCATTTGTAGGAGTTCACTACTTGCCTTCCTGCCTCAAAAGAGGTCCTATTAGCAGGTTGCATTGGTTTGTAGGATGGTTACTCATTTTGTTGACTGCTGCATACTAGGGGCAGCTTTTCTTTATGATGCCGGTCATGTTTAGCACTGGTTATTTCTTTGCTTGCATATCTATAGCATTAAGCTGGGCTCTTTTCCATAAAGATTTATAGCTGAGCAGCATAAATATATAAAACTTGATCCTTTTTTCTTTCTGTTACATAAACTGAAGTTAGTATGTATTTATGTGACAGCAGTTGTACATGTTTATATTGCTGATATGTATTGTACATGGAACAGTGTTCATTTGTTGAGCACCGGAACTACAAAATTGTGTACAGGCGCTATGCGTCGTTGTTTTTCCTGGTTGGAGTTGATAATGATGAAGTAAGTTACTCACGACAAACTTGTTCTCTTGTTGCCTCCAACTTTGTCTTTCTTAATATCTGTTTCCCTCTTCTTGTCATTTGCATTGCAGAATGAGCTTGCAATTTTGGAATTCATACATCTGTTAGTTGAAACCATGGACCGCCATTTTGGCAATGTGGTAAACTCCTTTTCCCAAAATAGTGCATATTTTCTTTTGAGTGGTGATTTCCCCACTCCAATTTTGTCCACTTACACTCCATTTTATAACTGAAAAAGGAGTGTAAGTGGTCAAAATGGGAGTGGGGAAATCATTACCCTTTCTCTTTTGCTTCTGACTTTTGATTTAACCAGCCATTTTCTTATTTTTACTGGTCGATAAGAAATTAATTTGTTTCTCTACAATTGAATTTGCAGTGTGAACTAGATATCATGTTCCATTTGGAGAAAGCGCATTTCATGCTGGAAGAAATGGTCATGAATGGGTGTATTGTCGAGACAAGCAAGTCTAGCATTCTGGCGCCAATACAACTGATGGACAAAATGTCTTGAGAAGACGCCAAATTAGATGTTAGTTTGCTAAGGGGTTGGGTTGGGTTGTATTGAGTTTGCACGTATTTGTGTTGCCTGTTGTACAATAACTGCAAAGAGGATAAATACCATACTCTATCTTTGTTATCAAAATTTCGGTTTGTTTTGTTGAATAACATATATATAATATGAGGAAATATACCCTTTTGCTGAAACCGTGCAACACTTTGATCATATTAATATTATGTCTTAGTAAACACAACTTAAGTTACCCAACAATACCATTCTCAATTGATGTGTATTTCTATTTACGAACATATCTGCACATAAGACTGACTATATTCCATCAAACAGTCAACTTGCAATCTACAGACAACTTGCAATCTACAGACAACTTGCAATCATACAGCTGCAGGCTTCCCATCCTTTCTAGGATCGCTTACAGCAGTGAGTGTACCATGAAATGTTTGTTTATTAGAATTTTGTCCACTTTTTCGGCCCATGTTAACAGGTTTTCGGAGGGTTTGGACAATGAGCTGAGTGATGGCTCCCCCTGCCTTAGCCTCCAACTGATGTCCCCGCTCTTGCAAGAAGAGCCTTTTTTCATCCGAAAGCTCGATGTGATCGCCGTCTATCACAGTCAAGTTCTCGTAGGAGACTACGTTTGGTATCAGCTGCATGGAATTAAACAAGAATTTCAACTAAACGTACAGAGAATTCATAAAGTATATCATGCCTATGAATTGAAGCAAGCTATCAACCTTGTGGTAGATCCTTGGACTTTGAACTGCAGCTAAAGGATCCATCCTCAAGACAAAGTAATTCAGAAAAACCTGGGTTACTGCTGGAATTATGTTCATACCGCCACTACCGCCTATGACTCCAGCCAACTCATTGTCCTGCAAAAACCAAAAACATTCCCTTTTATTGCCTACTTTAATCTTACTGAGACACAAAGTATGCAGATGCAGTACTATTTGTACCTTCATTATAATAAGTGGAGTCATGGAGGATAAAGGTCTCTTGTTTGGTTCAATAAAATTTGCCGGAGCAGGGGGGAGATGGTCTGGGGATATCTCCGTCGGAGTTGAGAAGTCATCCATCTCATTGTTGAGCAGAATTCCAGTAGAAGGAGAAAGCACTCCGCCTCCAAAAGGATAGTTTACAGTGCTTGTCATTGAGACTGCATTTCTATCTGCATCTACTATACAGAAATGACTTGTTCCATGATCTCTGAGCTGGCTCCACCTGGTTAATCATGGGATGAAATAACTTCAGACTAATGACTTAGGCAGGAATATTAGCAGTTTATCCAGCAGGTAGAGAAAGCTCTAATTTGAACTACAAAAGAGCAGATCATGCCTTTGCAAATAATACTCTGGAGGGAAGGTTGTGTTGTCAAATATCTTCTGCTGAATTTTCTTTGCAAAAGATGGGGAAAGCATATCAGATGCATATTTACTTGTATCAACGAAAGCAGGATCCCCCAAGTTCATTCGGACTGCAAACATGTGTTTCAATGCTTCAATCAGACGATGTAAACCAAGATCTCCCTTTGCAGCGTCTGAAGTTCCATAGCTGTCGAAGATGTTCAGAACCTGTTTTTACCAAAATGCAGACCAATTCATCAAAATGGCCACAATCATCCAATTTGGAAGGAAGATTCTGCACCTTACATCTACTGAAGAGCAAAATGGTAAAGAAGAAATAGGAAAGAAATTACCCACCAAAGAAAGCCCCAATGTTCCACTTGAAGGAGGTGGCATTCCAAATACAGTGTAGCCCATCACATTAGCAGCCACTGGTTCCACAACACTCACCTTGTAATTCCTTAGATCCTCCATTGTCAAGATCCCACCAGCCTCTCTCACATCCTTTACTAGTTTTTCACCAACACTGCCATTATAGAAGGCTTGTGGCCCAAGTTCTGCCACTGCCTCTAAGCTATGGCCAAGTTCTACATTGTAGCATGTATCACCTGTCTGTAACAACTTCCCATTTGGTGCAAACACTTGCCTTAAGCCAGGGTCACTTAGAATCTCATCTCCTAATCTACTTATATATCCTCCAAGATAAGGAGCAATTTCATATCCATCTTTAGCTAGTTTTATGGCAGGTTGAAATAAAGTCTTCCATGCCATTCGCCCATGTTGCAACCAAGCTTCATGGAGACCAGCTATCTCACCAGGAACTCCCATTGATAATGCACCTACTAACTTGGCTTTGGGATTGGTCTCGTACATATTCTGTTTGATGACAATAACAGTTTATACACAACGTACAGAGTAAAATTAGAATGAATCGTTATCAAGGAAAATGAACAAATTATTAGTCACCCCTTCCATTCAATGGGTCCAACCTAAAAGATTGGTCCGTTTCGACACCAACACTTCCGATAGATTGGAGCCACTGACACATGGGTTTCAATCAAAACTAGCATTTCAGCTGAAAGGGAGAATTTTGAAACCTGTGAAGCAGCTATAGGAGCAGTCTCCCTCAAATCAAAAGCTTGGGTTTGGGAGGTTGCTGAAGATCGGACAAGAATGAAACCCCCACCTCCAATCCCACTTGCCATCGAATTAACAACGCCAAGGCACAATGCTGTTGCCACTGCAGCATCAACAGCATGCCCACCCTGTCTAAGTATTGAAGCACCAACCTCAGAACATCTGGCATCATCAGCTGCAACAACTCCCTTCTCTGACTCAACAATATCAGAATCATTGATTTTAAATTTCCCCTCATTATAATTGTTTGCTCCTCTGATCAGTACCCGCCCATTTGTGTGCCCTCCAAATATAAGGCCTACAATTAGAAAATGAATGAAAAATAGAAAAAGGGTCAGTGAGCATCCAATCCAAAGCATTTAACTTTCAAAAGTATTGTCAATAATTAAAAAGCATTTAACTTTTATTGTCAATATCTTGGTTTGGCATTCCAGATATAGAAAGCAGGCACTATATTCAAAGCAAAACTTCAGGGGAAAATAATATGTAAACTGATAGTGGAAAAGTATGAAAATTTGATTTATATTATGAAAATTTTTGCCCTTCAAGTTCGGTTGTGAGATTGGTAATTCGGGTAAGTCCACGGAACTGAGATCGCCCCTAGCAGCTAGGTACTGTCTCTAAAAGCATAGCAGCCAGCACACACATTTTAACCAAGCAAGAAAAATAAGTGGGTTCTTTAAGCATTTTATATAGCTGCTGCAAGAAAATTGGAAGCAAATAGATTGTGTAAAGCAGACCCCCCAAAAAAAAACTTCGTGAAAAGCCAGAACAGAGAGATCATAAATACAGCTTGTGGTATAAGAAAGTGAGAGAGAACAAGAACTGACAGATGATGGCTACAAATGCAAGGAGGAGCCCAAGAGCTCCACATGTCGTGCAGCTCTTCTTCTTGTTGTTATTGGTCAACCCATGGCTGTCCAAGAGTGGCGCTGCCAAGCTCTGTTGCCCCATCAGGTGTTTTCAGAGGGAGCGAGAGAGAGAAGGTTAGGTGCTTTGGTATTGGTAGAGTGGTAGGAAATGTTTTCGTTGTTGTCGTTCGTTGATATAAAATAAGCAACAAAAAGATGATTCGAGCACAGAGACCATAGTTGATTTGGCATATTGAAATGACGCAGGTGTGTCTTTTGTTTTGTTTTGCTTTGGTTATTTTTTGGGCCAAGCCTTTCTGTTTTCACCAATTTGTAATCTGGCTAACTTTTCTGACCCAATACAGAATTACATTCTCTTCAGTTGGATTCTTTCGCCTGTCAAACCAAGAAAAGTGAAAATTGTTAAATTCCATCCGTAACTTGGCCACCCTCCACCATTTAACTGCTGCCATGTCCGCAGCGGACTCCAATTGCTGATAAGAGAATATCTTTTTTTCGGTTCCGAGTTCATACATAGTTTAAACTATAAAGGGATGGGAGTTTCTCACATATACTACCACAATGTGATGACGGTTCGAACATGAGATTACTAGTTTTTAAGTCAATGATCTTTTCAACTGGGTTAGAACTCGTTGGCGAGAAAATTTGGGCTAGAGTTTTTCACCTCTCTTTTGTTAAAGCTTTATTTGTATTGTTATTGCTTGGTTTTTTCAAGCTTTATTTATTTTTGGTTGTTCAACCAAAAAAAATTTATTTTTGGTTGTTATGAGTTTGCACTCTTCGATCATGCGTATCGTTAGTGGAGAAGCCTCAGATTGTCTTAATTCTTATATTAGATCGCTTCATTATTGTAATAGACATTTGTAGCAAGTTTGTGTTGGTCATTTTTGGCTAGCGGCTTTTTTAACTGAATTATGAATGCAATCCAAAATTTCTCAAAAAAACCCACCACTTGAATAATATAGGAATCAATTTTAAAATAGTTAATTCACAATTTGCTGCCACCACGTGATTAATTAGCATAAATTCATACTTGTTTTTTTTTCAATTAATGGGATTTGTTATTGGCTTGGGCTTTCGTGAGAAGACTCATGGGGATTTGGAAATAAAGATTCAATTTTGATTTTGATTTACTAGATGTAGACGACAAGAAAAACCAAGACTTTTTCTAGACACAGACATCGAGGGGCTCCATGGACGTCAAACAATTTCGCTATATCACATGAGTAGTTTCTCAAGTCGCAAGTCGAGCCCCTTCCTTCAATATAGCCGACAAGTTGCTTGGTCTTCATTTTCAAATTCAATCAGCCAAAAGCGTCCAACTTCTGAATTCTAATGATGTCTTTTCATTTCAACTTCCGAATTCAATCTGCCAAAGCGTCCAGGTTCTGAATTCTAATGTCTCTTTTCCTTCTCCAAATTTGACCAAATGTTCGTTCAGGCCATTGTTTCGTAATCAAACATGTCATGGATTCTGACTTTGGAGAGTTGATTGGTATTGAGCTAATTTTGGTTCGGTTTTCTTTCATAATGTTAGGCACCAACTGCATTATCAAAGGCACACGTACTAGTACTACCATGCATATGCATTGGAAAGAGAAAAAAGAAACTATGCCCGGGTTAAACAATGCCATATGTAAGGGCTTTTTTCTTTTTCCTTTTCTTTATATATATATAATAATAAAAAAGGTCACAATCTAAAAGATGACCTGGATCAAGAAGGAAATATATATTTATAGAAGGTGTATATTTACCAAAAGAATTAAACAAAAACAAAAACTAGGCTCTTCATGTCTGCCAGAACACATCAGGGTCATTGCTGTACAATGAGTGATCCTGAATTTCCTGGTTAGCCACATGGCAATCAATAAGCCGTGATTGGATAATTTTACAGAGTGCCAAACCAGAAGGAAGCACCCACCATCCACTTTCATCCCTGCATTTTGCAAACAAGGATTTTCATTAGCGAGAATTGAAGTTGCTGCAATCACTATTTACAACAGATGAGGCTACTACATAAAAGAGTTGCTGCCATTAATCTAAAAACTTACATGCTAAAATTCCAGGACTGAAAGTTGGAATGCTTTTTCTGCGAGTGGGTCGTATACTGAATCAATCCGCACGTAAAAGCAACAACCTGAAACATTACAAAATGTTAGGAATCGCACCATCAAATATTGAAACAAGGGTATAGCCTGCTTGTATTGTAGTAATAGCCTTTCATGTGAACCTCTTGAATTTTTAAGCCACTGGGTTCAGAACAACTTACAACATTGATCAAGGATGTGATATTCCACAAAGCATATATACGTGCAAGACCTGCTGACCGTCTCGGTCCATGACTAAACAAAGCACTGATTCCAGCTGGGAAGGGGAATAGTAGTCCAAGAGGAAGAATAAATAAGACTAAGAAGAAGTCCAACAGTGAAATAGAATACAGCTGCAGCAAAGTGAGCAAGACTATGCTAAAATCTCCCAACAGAAGAATAGAGATGACCAAACCAACAAGATCCTGTGATATAGAAAGATACGAACGAGGGAGAGTTAGAATAGCATCTAAGAACAACCAGATTACAGAATGAGGAATGATAAAAAACCAAGTCAGTATATTGTAGGCATGGTCACTACCTGATGGCCAACAGGTTTGCCATTACAAACTATGAAGGAAAAGGGATAACATATAGCTTTCCTCTCTTTAAACATCCTTAAGCTCTTGGTGTGTAAAATCCCTCCAGAGAACCTTTTTTGAGACATCCAATGGTCAATGAGTCTCAATTGTTCAAATGGGTTTTCCCTATGATTTCTTGGCATACTGCAAATCAGGTCGAAGAAACATAAACCTTAAGGTATATAACTTGCTAGAAAAATAATCAGGAGGAGAATGTTACCGTGACTGATGCTCTGGTGGCAACGATGCATCTTGACCATCCAGCGCTGGTCGCATACTTTCATTGTCAACAGCATATACCAAAAGTCCAAACTGGCAATATCCAGATGCTGTAGGCTGAAACCAGGTAAGATCTACATGTATTCCATATGCACTAAGAGCAGGGTTCGCATGTGTTTCAAGCCAGCTGATAACATGACCAAAAGTTAATTTTAAGTGTCCACGCCGAACCAAACGCAGTTGAGCGTTTAGACCAGCTACAAGCCGATACCAGATTGTAGGTGGAATACACTGAAAAAAATCAAATATAACGATCAGAACTTAATTTATATATATATATAATCAGCAGTAGGATATAACTGAACTTCACATGATACACATCCCTAAACATAGATCGGTAGCAAACCTGACTCATGAGGCTAGTAAGAATGTTATCACTGTGAAGAGAGAAAGGAGCCATGTAACTTCCATTTCCTCCAAAAATTATAGACATCGGAAATCTCTGATGAAGACGGGGAGGAAGACCAGCTCTTTTCTCATCTCCACCCAGGAAAAAGTCCACATATGCAAGCATTAGATCAGAAGTTGCAGCTACCTGCAGTAAAAAAAAATTAAACGTGATGGTAAAACTGTTAATTCAGCCATAATTTCAAAACGACTCTTCAAAAGACGTTAACAAATGAAAATCTGCACAACAGCACTACAGTGACACGAGATTAACAGTAGATCATTCATATGTATTCAGTAAAATTCATATATAGATATCTAGCTAACAATGCGAGCTGATAGTATTTCTGTTCCAGGTGCTTAAGATCCTAAAACCCCAAAGAAAATTATGTAGAGAAGCACAAGGAAACACTAGACAGTTAGGATGTCTTTAGAAATACCTTAAGCCCTTCATACAGTGCACGTGAACGACAAGAACGCAAGCAAGAATGATCATATTCTGACCGAACATATTCACGAAGTTGTTGTAACTTCTTTTTCCGTCGACTCTGTAACCATGACCATGCAAGTGGATAGGCAAAAACAGAAAGAATGCTGTAGATTGATCCTTCCCACCACTGATAAGCAGCTAAACCATTAATCTCATCCACAAATCTATTGAATGCATCCTCATATCTGCCATGTAATGAAATACTTAAAACACTAGAAGTTTACCCAACTTGAGTTAATAAGAAACTATGAACAAAATTATTGAACCCAAAGCATCAAGCATCAATATGGAAATATATGCATAACTAAACAAAGGCATGTCGTGTCACCATTAATTTGCAGTGAGCATCCAACCACCAAAATCATAATACACCAAATGGAGAAAGAGAGCTTACACAATCTCTGTTATTTGTTCTGGAGGGGAATGAGGTAGATGCCAAGGTTCACCGAATGTATTTGGCCCCATGAAATACATCCTATGTACATGACTCTGAGATTCCTCGTTTCTATTTGTTTCCAAAACCTAAATGACAACAGGATTGTCACATCTAACACGATGGAAGATTACAGAGCACTCCAATTTGGTTTTTAAATGATAATTATGCCAGTAATAAAAACAGCAGTAAGTAGCCAAAGTCAGAAATTGAGGCAAACCTCGTTTAACGATTCCAGGAAAGGGAAGGAATGATCTAAACGTGACCCCTGTCGAGCAGGTAAAGGAGCTGGTACTTCATCTGCAGTAACATATTTTGTTCGTGCAACACTAAGCACAAGAGCTAAAAGGATGAGGAGACCTAACAGAATAAGACTGAACAACCATGGTCCACCAAAAGTGTAAACCAATTCTTCAAGTGCTGTATAACATTTTGGCATGTGATATCTGTCAGAAATGCACTTGTATGGACAAGGAGTTTCACTAACACCACCTGATAAAATTCAAATGAAGTCAAAGAGTTCATTTACCCAAAGAGAAACATATTCACACTAATATTGTAACACCACTCTCAACAACAAAGATCCACAACATGCAGCCAGTCAATCCAATTTCCAGGTCTTCACAAGTCAAATAATGACAAACTTCTTAAAATAAAGCACATTGAAAAACATAGCAAAACTGTTGCACAAATAAATAAGTAGCCAGACTAAAATTTAGGGATACCTCGAACAGTAACATATATGGCACGATGTGGAAGCTCGAGAGATGGGCAAGCATGACAAAGGGCTCTATCAGAGCCACTGACATTCTTGAAAGTCCCCACAGGGCATTCCTGCAGTACAATTTGCTCAAATTTTAAACATAAACATGATAATTAGGAGAAATAAAGCAACCCAACGAAAGCATATTAAAGCCCACAATCACAGATGCAAATACGTATACAAATACAATATGAACCAA